TAAATTGTTCAATAAAAAAAAATTTAAATAAATTTAAAAAAAAACCTCACCCTGGTGATTAAAACCTGTTCATATAGTATGTTGTCCCAAGATCTCTTAATTTCTTCACTCATTTTCTACATAAAACGTTTTTGGCCCAACTAAATAGGATATGAACATTTCTGACTTTGTTTACTGCCCATTGTAGAATCAAAACAGATTAGAGTAAATTGCCTCATATAATAATCTTGCTTCTCTTGTGAAAGGCTACCTTAATGTTATTGTTGGAAGCCTTGCCTTTTCTGTGTTCCTACAAAAAACTGTTTGTCTGTCTCAACTAGGTATTTTTTAATCATCATTATATGATTACAATTATTCTTGTAAATAAAATATCTAGGTCTGTAGCTGCTGGCTAGATGTGTAATGTTCTCTACCAGCTAGTGAATAATGTCTGTCTGCTATTTTTTGGTGCTGGGCAGGTAATGTACAGCTGGTTTATTGGAGCTTTTTTGCTGAAGAAAGCTGCCTGGGAGTGTTGAACCATACATTAAATTTGTGGCTATGATCCAAAACATTCAGCTAAAAGAGGCCACAACGCTCAGTTGGGTGATAATGCTCTTTAGCAAGCCTTACAAATTGCGTGTAGTCAATTGATTTGAATAAGTGTATAGCTGTAACTGAACACTGGAAACAGACAACATATCGGCTGTCTGTGACAGACAAAAAACATTCAGTGTCAACTGGGAACAGGTCAAAGGCCTCTACCAGGAGTCAGTGGATGGCTGTCAAAAGTCCAACCTTCAACAGAGACATGGTTATGACCATATGTGACCAAAGTTCCACACCTAAATCAAGTAATGACTGAGCAAACTCCATCCACTGATGAACTGCAAGCTACAGAACAAGGACCAGTGTATAGGATTTAGTAGCATCTAGTGGTGCAGTTGCAGGTTGTAACACCGCTAGCGTCTGTATTTGATGACCTGGGAATGAGAACAGAACTCTAATCTCAGATGAACATAGTGAAGCAATTAGCACCTAAAGAGCCTGTTATTTTCCTTAGAACACGGTAGAGAACTAAAAGCGAGTGAATATCAGATTTATTCTCCAGGTGGCCACGGATATGACTCCAAATGAATGATAAGTGTTCTGTAACAGCTGGATGTGTAATGTGTGTGTGTGTTTACTGCATGACAAGTTCACCATACCAAGGTAATGATATGTCAGAGTTATGTTCACAACTTGTTTGCGCTGCCCCCAAGTGGCCAAAAAATCTGTTATTGTAAGTTTAAAGGTGCAGAGAAGACCGAGCAGAGAACCCACTGCAGTATGGTAAGGACAGAAGCCTATACAGACTCACAGACTGACACATATTGTTTTTTTTTTTTTAATATGTAAGCACTAAAAGTCCACTGTCAAAGTCAAATTTCTCTTATTAAATAACAGCATTTACTCACTTCAGTAACTGACTAATCTTTTGGCTACTGTATGAAGAGGATTGGCTACCAAAAGCTTAACTCTCCTCGCTGTGGTTGTGGTCAATCTCCATTTCTACAAGCTTTATTCACTAAAGGGAGGCGACCCATTCCAGTGGGAAAATGTCATTAAGAAAGTCCTCACTTTTTACCAATCCCAAGACGACGTGAAGATAACGCTGCCTTCAAGGGCTGTAGGACTTATGGAATTTTAAAGTTGGCCTCCCATATGAGCTATGAAAGTGCGAAATTGCGAGTCTTGCTCACAGCCAGAAACATTAGCTGTGCAGTTCAGTAAACAGCAGATCCAGCAGATTCCTGCCTGTGTGTAGATATCGAAGATGTAAACCATTGTTGGCTCCAGCTTTCTGTGGACACAGCACTTTTCATTTTTAGTTCATTTTTAAGGTTATGGCTATTGACAATCAATACACTGTAATGATATAAAACTGTGTTTGTCAGCAGCATCTTGGTCTGATAAGTTGGAAATTGCTCAATCTAAATAAAAGGTTAGTATGTGTTACACCGACATGATGAGTCTGAGTCTCCTTTGCGTTATCTTATTTTTTTTTTAAAACCAAAATAAACCATCGCGTTCAGATGTCTAGAGGAGGAGTTTCCGAGCAGCACCTGAAGGCGGCATGATGCTGCGCGCGTAATGGATTTCCCCAGCACTGCTGCTTATCGGGGACCAGGAGCTGCAGCTGCAGCAGTCCAACCACGTTCAATCTGCTCCACCACTTGATGCCGGTGACCTTGGCTGACGGTGGTCACGCCTTTCAGTCTTGCGTTGCTCTTTTCTACCCACCATGGCATCATCGGACGGGCTGGATGAGGATTGCGTGTTGCAGCGGGGGAGATCTCAGAGTGACCCGAGCAGCATCACCGAGGTCCGCTTGGGTGAAGCGCACAGAGCAGGTAAGAGGAGACGGGGGGCCTTAACGCATGTTGGACATCTGTCACATGCTCATTAGCTGTTGCTTCTGGCAGGTGGTTGGATGGGGGGGACACAGCAAGATGTCGGGGCTCGCCTGCAGCCGATCGCATCCGCGGTGTTCCCTTTGAATTTGTATGCAACAAACGTAGGTTGTGTTGTAAACGTGCGTCATTTACTATCCCCTACATGTACCCGCTGCTTTGCCTTGCTGTAGGCCGAAATTGCGCTAATAATAATGTCATTGCAATGACAGAGTGAATTTGGGTTAATGCAACATACGAGACCAACTGGTGTCAGACAGGTTTTATGTTGTTTATTTTCTGATTTTGGTCATTTGCAGGCTTACTGGTATGTTACCTTCTGCCACCCACTCATTGCCCAGTTCATCTGTACATATCATCAAGCTGTGGCAGACATCCCTCAACAAACATTGTTATTGCCGATTATTTGCAGGTGATCAATGAAAATCCATTGACTGATCCCTTTTTTGTATTTGTGAAATAGGATTTTTTTTGCAGCATGGGACTACAGAATGGACAACTTGCCACCATCACACATGGACTGCAGTATGTTGAGTTAAAGCTGATGAGAGTGCTGGTTGTGTATTTGGCTGTTTCCATGGTGATCCAAATGGCAGAAGGCAGCGCTTGGCTCTCCAACTGTGAGCCGACATGGTGTTTGTCTGCTCCACTTACTGGTCCTTTTTTTCAGTACACTCGGTGATGTACAGCAGCCAGCCATTCAAAGTGAAATGCCACTTAGACTGTGAATCGTGTTTATTTGGGAGACATTTTCACTGTGAATCCCTGGGCAGGCATTCACTGTTGCTCAACAGCTACCAAGAAGCAGTCGTAAGATATGCTGCTTTGAAAGATATTGATTGATATGAAAACGTGATAAATGACTCATTTTTACTTGCAGGCCCTTGACGCTGCTGTTTCCCAGCCGTCATCGCCCACGTACTGTGGATTCAACCGGTTTAATGACAGAGTGGCGGCATGAAAAGTGAAGCAGAGAAGTTGATACTGTACAGCTGTTGTATCTGTACAAATAAGGGGCTGAGTTACTGAATCACAGTCTGACATGCGTGGGGGTTGCAGTATAATATATGAGACAGGATTCTTGGCTTCATATTATAACACACATAGTGCACTACACTTTCATTTTCACTTGTGTGTGATGTTACAGTCTGTTTGAACATCAGACCATTCCACAGGGCCAGCTATCTTTAGACACGAGGGCCACAGCAGTACTGCAGGAAGGATCTTCAAGTTGTCTTGCCAACAGTGGATACTGTTGTGTTCATGCCGTCGGTTTCAAATCCAGTGCTTGTCACGTTGTCGTGGTTGTTATGGTTACGTAACAGCGTTGGTGTATGTGCAACTCTGAGACAACACTGGCAGGATTGCCCTGCGATGTACCGTTCATTGTCGTTTCAAACTTCACATCAAATTCACCCAGATCTTCCTAAAGCGGCGTAGCAGATTTCCTCCAAAGCTGACGTTTCTTGTGCAGCATCAGGCAGACAGGGCTTGGGCAATGCAGCATTAAAAACCTGCCTGCCCTCCCCCACCCCTCCATTCCCTCTGCTCGGTAAGGCTAACCCTTTCATAGCCCTGGCACCCCTACTGCGTCTTTGATCCTGGCACTTGAAGAACCATCTCCATTAAAGGGGAGAAAAGAGGGAGTGACAGATCTCTGATAGTGGCATTATCATGGCACCCAGCTGGGCAATGTCACAGTGAATCAGCTGCACAATAGACTGGACTTAATATACAAATTACTTGTTCTTCTGTCAGGATGCTTTGATAATGATGTTGGAAGAAAATTAAGTGTTTTCTCTGCGGCACATGGCTACAACCTAACAGTATTTAACAACAGTAATGCTGTTAAATCAGATTCTCATGATGCTCATATTATGCCATATAAAGAACACAGAGCACTGAGGACGCTGATTTAACCTGAATACATGTTTTGCAAAACTTTCCATCTGATAGCCTTATTGATAATGCTTTACTCTACAAATTAGAGATATCCGACTGAGAACAAAACACTGTGCTGTCGATTAAATTGTCTTTACTGTATAGGACTGCTGTAGATGGTTTCATTTGGAGCTGGTGATAAGCAGCCACCTTGTTCAGCATGTACAGGTTACATCACTAGCTCTGCTAGAGATGATGCAGAACTGTAAGTGCAGCCAAAACACTGTAGCCCAAAGGTGGAACTCATGCTGCATTCAAATTTTGGCATATGCAGTAGCCGGCAAATCGGATATTCATTACTTTCAAGAGAAAGATGGCGCGGGTGCAATGTGACACTTAACAGAACTTGGCAGAATGACTCCAAATCTTCCAACCTTTACAGTCAGCTGGCAGTGAAGACAAGTGTGATTTTGAAAAATGAAGCCAAATGGGTCTATCCACATTAGTTGTTTCATCAAGCAATAACTACTAGTGTATAATATAATAACCACAGAAGATGTACCCAATTAATGAGTTTAAATTAAACTTTAAGTTGCAGCAATCAAGCATTATATATTAACAGTTACGTTTTAATTCAGTCCCAGTGCTCTCATTAGCATTATTTTCAACCACATGAATCAGCTGTTTTCGGTGGAAAGGCTCTGATATACCCATCAGCCAGCTGCCCAGCAACAGGACAAAGTTAGCAATTAGCTGGTGAACATACTGAAGCATTTAGCAGCTAAAGGACCAGGCTCTTTACTCAGTAGTTGGTGGAATTCAAAATGCTAGACAGGCAGACACATTATCGCCAAATGAATGCTAATGTTGGTCTGTATCTGCTGGATGTAAATAAGCAACTGTTTGCTAACATGTTAGTCATATTCACTTTCAGTTTTATGCTTACAGCTAGTTGCATTTCCCCCAAGTTCCTAATAAAACCAGTTAACATTGGCTTGAAGGCTAATTTTGGTTCATTACAAAAGGTTATAATAGCATAATTGCTCAAATATGCAGCGACATTGGCAACAAGAAGTCCAGTACATCTCAGTCCTGTCGATAATTCCATACAGCTCGTTTGGGGCTTGGTTAGTGTCAGTGTGTGGTCGAATGTACACCACCGTGAGAACCACTGATGTAACTCCTCAGGAGATCGATTAGGGGTCGACAGCCTATTATAAGTTGCTCTCCTGAATGATCTCAACGTTCCCAAATCACCATTAGATATATACACCATGCTCAGTCTAATGACCTGGTAACTCAGATGAGGTCATGGACGTCTTGTGTTTGACCCTGGCGTGATTTGAACACACAACCTTCTTCCCTGCTATTTTAAACGAGTATCACGATAAAATTTTCACCTCACTTTGACTCTTGACTCTCAACACATATTTGTGTCGCGATTTAATTCTCGTGACATATCTTTACATACTGACTGCTCATGTGTTTTACCCCTTCAGACTTGTCAACATGTTCCAGTTCCAACAATTGACTTGGTGAGTATGATATGAATATGAATAGTAAAACCAACCAATACAAAACGCATTAGTTGTCATTAACTGGAATGTTCTTTCAAATGAACATGAAATAGATTTGTTTTTATTGCCCTAATCACTGTATACAACAGTAAAGTCTGAAATCCTGATAATATTGAAGTGTTTGAGCTTCAGTTTAGACCATAGCTGGAACAGAGCATCAAACTGCGGGTATCTTGCCTGGTGTTGCCTGGAGCGTGAAGGACTCTCTTCTCTTTCTCCACTCATCTCCCTATTTGAGCTGGTGCTGTTGTACTAATCTGACATGCTGCTCTAACATGAAAGGCTTTCTCCCTGGACTCTTCCGCTGTCCTCCAACCACTGCCCCCCCTCACACCACAACACTCACCTCTCAGCTACTGATAGGCCTTAGTTTAGTCATCGCATTCAGTTAGAGGGGGCCTGATCCAGAGATTAGTATTCCCTTTATTTGAATCAAGGTGCCTTATGTTTTATTAATCAGGAAGCCTATGCATAAGCCAGTTGGTCTCATTCCATATTCAGAGCTGTGATTGAAAGGAGAGAATAACCAACCTGTCACCTGGCAGCTCACTCCTACATTCATGTTCAGCTCAGTATGGAACAACATTTCTTAACAGCAGTCATTTCACAGACACTGCAGTTAGAGGTAAGATGGTGACAGAAGAATGTTGCGATTGTATACAGTTGTCAATATGGAAATGTCAACTGCAAAGATTGTCACAAAGTTTAGTAAATGCATGGCGTAGACTGGAAGCTGAAAATCTACCCTAGTGTTGTGAGGTTTGGAAAAAGTAAAAATGGCACCAGCTGCATACAGTTGTGATGCATCTATGGTGAAACATTTCCAGACCTTATGTGATGAGATTTAAAGTACTACACCTCTGTAATAAAAACACAGGGAGCTATGAACTATTTAAACCTGCAGTGCTGAACTTCAGCCTCCCCCTCTGGCAGTGAGAGTAGTTACACACTGTCGACGCATGCTTATGATGTATGCCTCCGACATACTGCTTGCCTGTTTGCTACAGTTGCTCCCCACATTAGAGAAACCATTGCTGCCCACTGCCAGCAGGGGAATATCGCCACAGACAATGGATGTAAAACCTCCAGTATCCTGCAAAATAAAGACAGATTTGTTTGGCGGGGATAGACTTAATCAGCATTGTGTAAACTCATTTGGCAAGGGCTTGAATGTAATTCATTAATACATAAAAGTCACGTACGTACTCGTACACATCTAGAGGCCAGCTCATTTTCTAGCATTGTAGGGCAGTGCATTTTCATTGCATTGCATTTTCCACATTTCAAGGGCACCCATGTGCTAATTAGCACAAAACACAATAGCGCAGTAGTCATGAACCAGTCATTTGACTTCATGCTCAGGAGGAGCAACAAAGTGTTTATAATCCATGCTAAGGTAGACAAGAATGTGTGTACAAAATTTCTTCCACAATCCATGCAGTAGTCGTCGAGACATTTCACTAAAAATAAAAAAGGGGAACG